GAAGTACCCTTCCATTTCCCACTTTTACTATTTATCTCTTTCAAACAGGTGTATTTATTTCAAACTATGTTTGTAGTCTTCTAGTTGCTCGTCTACTCGTAACTCCGAATTTCTGGGAGTTGTTAGTATTATGTGATTTATATTCGCACTGTATTGGATTTGGAATTTACTTCTCGTTGATTATTATTATTCTATTTTCAACTGTTAAAATTGGTTAATTACCTATTTTAGGTCGGCTTGCCTAGCAAGTAGATGTTAGGCGTCATCACGACCCAGAGGTTGGGATTCCGAATCGTGACACTTTTCTAGAATCTGAACTTGCCTAAGTTCTAACTCTTATGTATGCCTGTTACATGTGTTCAACATGGATGATTTCTGGCTCTCTTAAGCATATTTAGAACAGTGTGCTTGTAGGTGTCTGAATGCTTATATCTGCTACTTGTCCTGAGTTTATCTCCCTGTCTTGTTTTAGATTATTATGATAAACTAATGAGTTCCAATTGAATCATCCATGTGCTACTTACTAATTCTCATGAGTTAATTACTGATCATGTTGTTAGCCAAACATGCTTCCCTGCTATTTGTGAACCCTAATGTGTGTTCCATGCCTTGTTTAATCTTGTGTTATTTAGTACTGCCTAAGACTTCTAGGGTAAAAATGCAATATCTAGCCTCCTCTTCTATATGTGGTCAACTGGTATAAGCCCTAATAATCTAGATTTGATATATTCTTGCCTACTATGAGTTCTGGTATTGCTTAAGCCTTTGTGTTATGACTGATATTCAGCATGTTAAAATTTCTCATGCTAAGCTAAGTGAAAGGTCACAAACCATGTCCACCAACCTGTTTTTATGCTATTTGTGATCATATTTTTCACTAGGCTCTCATGTTAGAAACTTCCATGTGAAGACTGCTATTCCACTTGTTCCTGTATATGGTTCTGTTAGGATTTCATGTTAAAACTCTTGTACCTAAAGTCTTTTAGGCTCATTCTGGATCATGTTTTACTTTGAAACTTTACTTGGAATGGTTTTCTAGCCAATAATGTTCAATCTTGTCACTCTAAACTTATTTCTGGGAACATAGCATGAGCCTACCTTATGTATGCCTTGTATGTTTGCCAAAAATTCATGCGATCATGTCTATATGTCTTTAGTTAGAACTGCTATTAGTTACAACCTTAAGAATTAAGTAAGTGGACTTCAAAGGTTGTTTAATTAATTCAGTGTGTAGGTTGTCACTTGTGTGGTTAAGTTTGGCGTCTAATTGGGGAAGTAAGTCATTCACTTGGGCTTGGTAATGTTGGAACTGGGCATGGGATTCAGACATACTCTATTGTCCTTGTGAGCTTGGGATTTGGGTCTGCTGGTTGTGCAAAGAGTAAGGCTGTTGAAGGCTAGAAACATCACTGGGTTATTTTTATATTGGGCATGTAACTGTTGTAATAGGCCTATAGTTGTTTCATTATGTAATTTGTCATATTTGAGTTTGTATTATTTCATTTGAGCATGTAGTAACTTGTAATAACAAACGATTGGAGGGGGGGGGGGGGCTGTGATACTTTATTTCCTGCATTAACGGGTAGAAAACATTTCTATAAGATTCTAAATTGGACATGATGTTACTGCCTCATTTCTGCACCTAGATACCATGTTTATAGGGTGTCAACACAATAACGGAAACTGCTCTCTATGGTATTTTTTATTCTATTACGTTATTCATCGATATAACATGTCTATAGGATGTCAATCCAAGTAATCAAAAATTTCCCCTACTGATATCTTTCTTATGTTACGTGGTCTTCTTAGAAAGCATGTTTATAAGAACGAACAAGTAAATCTGTGCTCTCAATGACTCCGCTGCCCAAATACGAATTGTTTAGAGATCATGTCTACATGATGCAATTACTCACCTAGAAAGCATGGCTATAGGATCATTTAATAGAATTATGTTTTTAAACAACTTCATCGTCAAATTTGGTTATCTGGAAATCCTACCTTGCCTTAACAGCTGAATCGGTTAACATGCCTAATCATATAGAAACAATGCCTATAAGTAAACAACTCATCATGTTCCAATTCTGAGTTTGCCTAGTTATAGCTGCCCGCCTACCTAATCTTGAATATATTTATATAAGTAACAAGCGTTCTTTTAATTAATTGTGTGCACATGAGTGTATATGAGGAGGTGAACTTTAGCATTTTGTGTTCCTTATTATGAGAAGTCCTACATGTTTTAATTGTGCGCGCTTAGTTTTATCATTTTGAGCAGCCTAAGGGAGTCTAGAACCACCCATATAGTAGGTCTAAAGCCTCCTGAGCTATAGGCATGGGACAGGTAAGCACGCATAGGGCGCGACTTAGAATTGAACTAGAATGCTTTTAGGTAAACAACTTCAAGATAGTAATTGATAGAAGGAGATGATAGTCTGTGCTCGCTGAATAATATAAGTAACCGCTATAGTTAAGGAAATTGTGAAGTATTATTTATGTTGCACGGGGTAATCCTTTAGGCTAAAACACTTAGGACTCCCATACATGGTTACAACTTGTACACTTGTTTATTGTACTTAGATTGAACTAGGTTGTACCTTGTAGTTCTCAAAGGATTGTACCAATCACTTGTTAGTGAATAAGTTACTTCTTTCATATGCGCAATTTCTTTTGTCACTTGTTCCATCCTATAATTCAATTAGATATTTGGAATCAATTCTCTTCTTTAATTGATATGATCGTATAGGGTAATTATAATTTGATAATCCACAGAGTGTAAAATTTGGCCGGAAACTATAGTTGTGGACCTTGAAGAGTGCCTAACCCCTTCTCTTTGAGGTAATTTGACCCCTTATCCTATCTTTGGCGACACAAACTAGTTAAAACAGAGTTATTTGCAAACAGGTGTCCTAACACACCTCAAAATCATTAGGTGGCGACTCTTGTCTTTTAACATCCACTTAAAAGAGTTATCACGTGTCGAAATCCGCTTTCGCGAGAAAAACGATCTACAAAGGTGGCATGGATTGCCATCATGGATTGGGGAATTGGACCTGGACTGGGTCAGATTTGGATTAGGTTGTGTATTGGACTGGTTTTAATTTAAGAGATAGCCATTTTATATTTAAATTTACAATTGAAATTGTAGCCATTTAGTTAACCTTTTAAAAATTAATTTAATTAAACTTGATTAATTTTAATATAATGTAATAGAAATTATAACATCAAATACACTGCTAATTACTGTAATTAGTTAATTATTTGTTACACTTTATTTTCTAAATTGGAAAACTTATTTCGGGTTAATGAAATAGTTGGCTAATTAACAAAAATTAAGAAATAACTTTTAAAATTAATTATAAAACCTATATAATAAATATAAAGGTTATTTTAATAGTCTCAAAAACAGTAAGAGTAATATACTTTATAATTATATAGTACTAAATTATTAAATTCATCATTGTTAATTACTAATATATATAT